GGCTAATTTGGTTTTCCCCCCCCCCCCGGGGGAGCAATAAATTCCCTTTCACCCAAAAAAAACCAGGGGTTTTGGGGGGGGGGGGGGGGGGAGGCGCCCTCTGGGCTTGTGCTCTTCTCGTCACCTTCTTTTGCGCCTGCAACCGTCGAAGGTAGTCCTTCTGGCTTGTTCGGAACCCTCCCGAGAGGGATTGGAGTTTCCGCGCCGTGGCCCTCTGAATGTTGTTACGCACCTGTCGACCGGATGAGCAGACAAAAAGCGAGAGCTAAGGAACGGAAAAAAAAAAATACATATATACATATGTGAAAAAAAAACTACCACTTTATGATAGCATAAAACACGCCGCTCTTTCTTCATAGGGGTATACGTGACTGTGGACAGGTGCAAAAACTGGCACACCAGAAGATGATTGCATCCAATTTCTCTTGCTTTCTTCCCGGGACAACGGAAAGACAATCAGATGGAATCCTAGCCGTCACCGCAGAACGCGTCGTCAACACCAGCCCCGCCGCCGAAACAACTTGGAGCAAAACTTCGTCTTTGCAGGCCTATATTAACTTTCGGGCTCTCGCGTAGAACAAATGTTTCAGGCTCCCCATGACAAGAAAATCGCAATTTAGCCCCCCCAAGACCAAATACTCCTTTTCAGCTTCTTGAGACCCAACACTTTCAGGTTCCGTGAGGCAAACATCGATCTTACCGTCGCCTCCGCCGGCGTTAGCCCCGCCGATTCCCCCATGAGGTGCTTGAGTTGTCTCTCTGCCCGACGGAAAAGCGCGGTAACCTAGGTAGGACGGATGCGAAAAAAGAAAAATGGAAACCTTGATTGACATTATACACACTAACAAACACATGCCGCCATTTCATTGGTCAGTCGGTTAGCGCGGTCGATGCTAACTACAACACACACAAACTACACATGGCAGGCATGCCGAGAATGACAAAAACCCGTCTATTGCACATACTGTACCTCTCGTGTGGCATCTTCTACGTCCCTCTCCCTCTCCGCCTCGCTCTCGTCGAACGTCACCATCAGCCTCTTCGTGTGAAGAGCCGAAAGCTCCCTCACTGATTCGTTGTGTTAGCGGACATGCCGCCGCCGAAGCAGCAGCGTGGGTCGACAGGTAGACGAGGGGGAGGCACCGTCGTAGCTCAGAGTTGAGAGTTTTCATCTGTAAGAATTTCATTGCTGCTGCCAACGTTATGAAATCCAAGAGAGAAGAAGGCGATTATCTCACACCGATATCCCTCTAATGTCTTCGTTGTTCGCACACATGGAGCCACAGTTGGTTGGGCGCCCTCGACGAGGTTTGGACAGCATTCCATATTTTCCCAGATGTTTGTTTTGAGGATATCCTTCCTATCGTAGCTTTCCCCAGTCTCTCCGTCTGCCCGCGGCGTGTGATACCGCGCAAGATTGCACGTGGGTCAGTCGTGTCGTGTGTGCTACCTACCTATAATCTGGCCCATCTCCCTCTCTTCACCCACCCCCTCTCTTTCTCCCTCTCTCTCTTCTCTCTTCCCCCCCAATCCCTAGCGCTTGAGCTGGATCAGGCGCACATCCATGAATCGTCCATCTCTCTCTCTCTCTCTCTCTCTCTCTCTCGGTCTCTCTCTCTTTCTCTCTCAACCTCTGTCTCACGTTTGAGCTGAATGAGGCGGACATCCTCCTCCACGCCGTCGACCTTATCCACCCAGAGGGGCGGCAGCTGATGGCGGGTCGAAGCCCAGCTCGTGCCCGTGCTCGCGTCCTGTCCGACACGATACGACACGACCAAAACATAGACAGCACAACACGAGGAAAGTTCCACAACGGACTAGCATCAGAAAACACACGGTACGAAGGTGCTGTAACTGGCGCTACACGCTCGCGTCCTGTGCAGTGCAAATTCAACACAACACGAAACACACAAGACACCATGGGAGGAAGAGTTCACAAAATGTTGCACGCCCGCGTTTCAGGACATGGAAAAACTGAAAATCCGACGTCTTCAAAGGCTTCCCTCGGGATCGGGACCATTTTCCCTCTCAGCCCCCTCCTTGGCTCTTCGTTTCTCTGCGCCCTTTGAGACGATCACGTTCATAACCGCGACGTTCGCTCCTCATCGAGATCGCAAAGCGACACAAGATCAACGTCTGAAGATGGTTCAGTTGAATGCCGGCGTTTCTGATTATCGTAGGGTAAGAGAACACAGAATGTTCCAAAGCAACGGTCCGCCTGAATGCCGCAATTTCACGTTTATCACGAGCAAGGCTCGCAAAGCGATACATATACACATCTCCATGCACGGTGCTTCGAGTTGTAAAAAAAGGCCCCGCACAGCTGTCACAAGGCGAATTTGACACGTTTGGAGCGGGCCGAGGCAAGACCGTAGCCGCTCAGCGCTCGGCGACAAGCAATAACGAACGCGCCGCCACTTAAGAACCCTCCATTTTTTCCCCCGAGACTCGGTCTGATTTTGTCTATCGGGTACTGCTGTACCCCCTCGGCGACTACTGTAAATAGGTTTAAAGTGTAGGCTTTTTGATGTGAGCACTTGTTCTTACGGCCAAGTTCTTGGGTTTTGTATGTTGTTAGGCCTATCTTCTCAAGTGTTGAGTTCTTAAGTGGTGGCGCGTTCGGTCATCTCCTGGGAACAGGTCTATTACAGCCGCGTCGCATGATCTTGGGATCGCCATGAGGAGGGTCACGATCCACACAAACGCCAAAATAGCACCGACCCAAAAGGAGGCGGAACCGCGAGCCACACCACACCGGGTAAGAGAATCACTTTCGATTTCGTTGCACGCATGCTGATGCCAAACTTGAGCGCATTGGCGCGGCTCGAAAGATACGAACGCAATTGGATGCATGCACCGAGAACGCTGTCGCCTCGGCACACGGCTGGCCGTAGCTGAGTCCCAAACCTTCGTCGACAATTTTGGATCGCCAATACTGCTTGCTGCACACCGACTACTGCTGTGTTGCGAAATAACCCAAGGAATGCTGGCAGGGTGTCGTCCCATGTATTCTGGACGTCGGTCAGTCTTTACAACTACAGCAGTACAACATCGGTACGTTTTCCGGACGCATGCACCTGTGTCGTTCCGGAGGAAAGGAAAGCCAGCAGAGGAGTTTACCGCTGGGGAGACGAAATTACGTGAGGAGTGTTGTGTTTGAGTAAATCAATACTACGAAGTTGTTGTTGTTGTTGTCTTCACATTAAAAACCGTTCCGATCTCTCTCTACCCAGTACCTTCGTATGTCCGTACTGATCCAACACTCGACGCGGTCGATTCCCGTGGTCACAGGTTAACTTACCCTAAAAAGGTACACTCAAATAAACTGGCCCCGAGGGGTATGTTGTAGGAAACAACCAAGAGAATTGAGCTTTTGTTGTTCCCAAATCGGGTGGAACGCGGGAGAGCTTCGTTGAAGTGTGTCCTGCGTATACAGTACTCGCCTCCTGCTCCCTACTCCTACTCCCCCTACTCCGCTCGAGCAAGCCGCAAAAAAAAAAAAATAGGACAAGATGCGGGGGAACCCGAAAAAACGGGCGCGTGCTTCTGTCATCAGCTAAAGGATTGCGTGTGATGCAGTTGTGCTCGACTCGCCATGCCTGCAATCGTTCCAAGCGCCCCCGTTTCGCTCGCGTAGCCAAGTCCACTTACTGGTGTCCTGGGAGACGTACGTACCGTTGGACTCCCACGAGCGAAGCTCGGATTCCTTCTTTTCTTTCGACTGCAACAACCGCCGTCAACCGTCGTTCCTCCTCCGTGCTTTGATGTCTAGTCTACACCAAGCAAAGATGCAGGGTTCTGTATGTCGCAGTTCTGAAGGCACGACATTGGATTGAGTTGGTAGCAAGAGAGGCTGCGTGACAAAAAATCTAGCCTTGGCACCGCCACCCTGCCGTCCTTGCGTTTCACCCTCTCTGGTTTTCGTTACCCTTGCATATGGTGGTACAGCTGCTACGGTACCTGCTGCTCCCCGCTGTGTGTTGGACTCAGACAGGAACAGACATGCAGAACAAACCTCGGAATCTCTCTGCCCTGTACCGGCACACTTGTCACAGATGAGTATTTCGACGAACATTCAGCATCATGGGTGAATGGATAAACACCCCTCCCACTGGATGGGCCGAACATAGCTATCGCGCTCCGCTCTGCCGACTGGCAACGCTATATAGAAACGCACGATCTCTTCGGAGCAGGCAAGGAAAGAGCACAAACGAACACAAATCGAAAGAACAGCGACAGAGAGCAGATCAAACCCGACCGCACATCAGCAGCAACAACCAAAATCCTGCTCGCAACAACGAACTTGCAACGCGTCTGTCTCTCACATCCAACAGCCCGCTCTCGCTGAAAGCATCTCCGGGCCGCTTGCTCTCCGATGCCGAGCCTTCCACCCCATGCTGCAGCACTCGCAACTCGGCAAATCGTCGCGTGAGATCTCGCGTTGCCATCTCGCAGCAACACCCCAACCGGCCGTGACTATTTCTTCCCTCAACCCTCCCCAGTCAAAGCGCAAACTTCTGTTCGCCGTCGGCGGGTGGTTCCAGCTCTCCTCTCGTCCAATTGCGTTGGGAATACAACAATGTTTGCGGGTGTATGGGGTAGACGGTAGACAAAGGCGATGCACTGCAGTGCAGTGTGAGGGTGTGCCCACAAGCGCCCAACAGGTGGGGCACAACAAACAGGACCTTGGAAAAAACAGCACCCTCCCACGTTGAAATCAGGGGCTCCGTGAATGTACGGATTCGCGCTCAATGCTCCGCCCAACGCTCTCTGTAGCTCTGTTGCTTTGCTCTCCTCTTTTTATCCACCCCCCCGGCGGTGGAGAAGGAAAGCTTGGAGAAAATATGACGCAACATATGGGCATGATGGATTTCAGTGATGAGGAGGAAATGGACGAGGATTCGAGCCCTGTCGTTGGGTATCTTCAAGTGCTGCCTCCCAACGCCAGGATGCTCAAGGAGATCAAAGACGGTATGCTGCGACGAGAGGCATGTGACCCAATGTGTGCCTCGCGTGTCTCATCAGTAGTGCCTGTGTGCTACTGCTGTCTCTTGTTAGCTTGCTGACTTCGTGTTGCAGAGAGCGTGGACGGGTACAACCGTTTCTTCTTCTTACCGGTCGTTGTATTTTGATCAGCAAATTCAAATTTCTGGTCGTTTTTCTCGATCATCGCCGTCTGCATTCGAGAGAGACAACGAGCAGCAAATGTAGAAGCTGCATAGGCGTTGTCCGAAACGCGGTGAAGTTCTGTCGGGGGTGATCACCATGGGGGCGTACAGGCGTGCAGTATTCGTGGACAGCCACTTTCCTGGGCTGAAAAGGCCAAACTGGCAGAATTCCAACATTAACTGAAACCTGAAATCTCCCGCATCTACTTGTATCCTTCACGCATGGTGCGACTGCTGTACAAGTACAACAATACAACCGTTTTGAGTGCAGGCAGAACCTCAGGCTACAGGCTACAGAGCGAAGACCAGAAGCGCAGCCGTGTAGTCTCGAAATGAGGCAGCTCTTTTCCATTGCTTGAAAATATGTGTACACAGCAACGTATTAATGCACACCTAGTTTACATGGCAATTCTTCCTGTCATTTTCGGCCGATGGTAGGGGTCTGCAACTCCATGCGTACATACTGGTACATGCATCGATTCAGACAGCCGTTGCGCTACCCTATGTACGTGCCCATTACTGTACATGCTTTGGCGTATCTTCAGGGGAGACGACCGTGGGTCGAAACGAAGACCAAGACATCACGGTAGCCGACCCCAGCGTATCCGGCGCCCACGCCGTCATCGAGGTCCTCGAGGTTCCGGGAGGCGGCGGCAAGCGCTTAACCGTTAAGGTGATCCATCCGTCCAAAGCAACAGGGGTTGACACAAAGTTTGGGTTGGGTACATGGAGAGTAACAGACCTGTCTGCTTCACTTTTCCAAGCGCCGCCATGAGACATAGATTCCTGAAGCTCGACAGCAGTGATCAATAAGTGGCTCGGTACACGAAGGTTTTTTTATTCTCGCTTGACCTAGGTGTACCTGTATTCGATGCATGGTACATGCGCTTTTGGACACGTCCAAGCTCACGATATCGACTGTCGTAGTATATCACCCCCGCCCCCCCCCCCCCCGTTGGGAAAATTTCCCTTCGTTGTCTCCCAAAGCAAAGGGAAAGGGGGGCAATTGCGGCCCGTCACGACAATGGGCCAACCCGCGTTGGCGTACAATTGACTCGAAGACCTTCGTAGCTGTCCGTCGAATACCTCACTCCCCGAAATTTTGCCCACACCCCCATTCTTTCTTCTCTGGTCGATCGATTTCCCCCCCCGTTTCTTTTTTACTCCTGTGGACAGGACCTCCGCAGCACCAACGGCACGTACATTATCGATACTGAAACGGGCGATAAGAAGCGTCTCGCCCCTAAGAAGGCCACGATGCTGCCGGAAGAGGGATGCCGGATTCAGTTCGGCGGGGCCGCTTGCAAGGTATGACGCGCCTAGCTTTTTGTGCATCCCCAATTTTACACGTAGCACGAGAAAGTAGCCGCCTTTTCACCCCGGGAATGGAACGTGTATCTCGAGACAATCTGAAACCGTCTGTCTCACTGCTGCGAGTGTCACATAAGAAATAAGCGATCGTGAGAGACAGATCGGCATAGCATTGAAGTGTACCACACGCAAGACCGAGTCTGAGCGACAGACAGACAGACAGACAAATAGACAGACAACCATCGACCACCGCCGCCCGTCATCGTTTCCATCCCAGGTGGCCATGGGCCCTCTCCCGGAGCCTGGCGCCTTGTCCGAGGAAGAAAAGGACGGTGTTTACGACAACGATACCCAGATTGCCGGGGTGATCGACTTGGGCAACGACGAAGAAGCAGAAGGAAAGGCCGCCGCGGGTGCTGGTGCTAGGGAGGATGCGGCGGCGGGCGGCAAGAAGAGCGACACCGAGCCACTGCCGGGGGCGGAGGAAGAGGGAAAGTCGGAAGCCGAGGCGGGAACCCCGCTGGCCGGGACGGATGCATCAGAGCCTGGGCGGGGTGCTGGGGGTGACCGGAGCCGGCAAGATCAAGGCGTCGAGGAGACGAAGGGAGAAGGGTGTGGTTCTGATGGCGGGGCGAAGTCAAGGTCGCCCTCACGTGTGCGCTTCGAAGAAGAGCCTGCGAGTACGAGCGGCGGCGGCGGTGGTGTTGGTAATGGGGCGGGCGATGACGATGCCGAGCAGCCGACGCAAGCCATGGCGCTTGAGATGCTGGATGACAGCAGCGACAACGACAAAGAGCGGGAGGGGGATGACGCCAAGGCGGCCACAGAGCGAGGTTCTGGGAGTTCCGCCGCCATGGCGCTTGAGCTCGACAACAGCGAAGGAGGCGAGGGGGAAGAGGGGGCGAACGCTGAGGCAGCAGGAAATAACCAAGAAGATGGTGATGCTGCTGTCCCCGCCGACCTTCGGGGTGCTACCGAAGAAACCGCTGCTAATGCTGCTTCGCCCGGGGACGGTGGTGGTGCCGATGCGGAGGTTGCCCCCACGGACCCCCCGGCCCACGCGGACAGCGACGGCGACACCGCAGACGAAGGTGACGCCGCACTTCTCTTCGAGAAGTTGAACGAAGACGGGGACGGCAAAGGGAAGGCGGGGGTCGCCGGCGCAGCCGCCACCGCCGCCGGCCCCGCCGGCGAAGAGAACAGCGGGGACGACACCGCCGACGAAGGGGACACCGCTCTCCTCTTCGACGACGACGCCGATGGCGCGATGGCGAAGGCCGTCACTGACGCCGGCGGCGGCGGCAGCGACGCTGCTGCTGGTGCGGGCGCAGGCTTGCCGGCGGCCGCCCCGAGGTCGCCGGGCCCCAGCGCGACGGCGGGGCTTAGCGGGACCCCGATGACGCCGTCCACGCTGCCAGATATCACCGGCAGATCGGTGACCTCCCCCGGAAACGTGTCCGACGTGTCGACGCAGAGGCAGGAGTCGCCGAGGGCTCCGTTTCGAGGCGGCGAGGAGCATCGGCAGCAGCAAGAACCTGGCGCAGCGGCGGGAGGCCGGCCGCCGCCTGGTGGGGATTCTCCGGGAGGGGCACGTGAGACCCGGAGGGTGGACGCCGACGACGGCGACGATGCGGGGCCGGCAAAGCGGGAGGAAGGCAGCGACGACGACGACGACGACGACGACGACGACGACGACGACGATGACGACGGAAGCGAGGTGTCTGGGGCGTTGCTCCCCGCGGAAGACGACCTCGACGGTTTCGAAGACGATCTGCTCGACGCCGGGGCGGCGGAGCCGGCGGAGACCGGCGGCGACGGGGACGGCGGTGGTGATGGGGGCGCCGGGGCGGAGGCGGCGATAGCCGACGGCGACGTAGATTCAGGCTCGGAGACGGACGCCACCGAGGTTGACACGGATGAAGGCCCTCTCGCCGCTGGGCAGACAGAAAACGTCCCTGACCCCCCCGCGGTTGAGGAGAACGCCCCCGCCGCCGGCGGCACGGGGAGTAGCAGTTCCGTGGGGGCCCCGCCGGAGCCTGCAGAAGGTACTACCGTAAGCAGCGGGAGGGCATCGCCCGGTGCCTCCTCGGGGTCAGATGCGAATGTGGGTGGTGTCGATGCCAGCGAAGAGGAGCGCCAGGGGCGTCCGGGGCAACATCCTCCCGCCCAGGAGGACGCCCGGTCGCCGGGGGGCTCCCTGCTCCGGCGGGTGTCGACGGAAGACTCCATGATGGCCATCGCTAGGGAGCACGCGAGGAGCGAGGCGCGGGCGGCGGCCATGAATCTGGAGTCAGAGGAGGAGGTGGTGGTGGAGGAGGAGGAGGAGGAGCAGGAGGAGCAGGAGCAGGGTGAAACGGAGGTGGACAACGGTACCGGTGAGGCAGCAACCCAAGCCATTCCTGTGCAACTGGAAGAGGACGAAGAGGAGGATGATGAAGAGGAGGAGGAGGAGGAAGCGGGGGACGGGACGGAGGTTGTAGAGGAGGGCGACTCCCCCCCGCAACAGGACGATTTTTTCACCCCCGATACCTCGGCGTTGTCGCCGAGCAAGGCGCAAGCTGATGGAAACAAACCGCGGGGTGCACGTGGGGGGGCGGCAGGGGAAGGCGCAGCAGCGGTAGAAGTAGCATTGCCCGAGAAGGAGGAGGAGGAGGAGGAGGACGTTGAGCCCCCGATGGAGGCGGGTGACGCCGGCGAAGAGGTCGTGGAGGAACCCGCGGGTGGAGAGGAGGACGGGGATCAGGCGGGGACTGATAGTCACAGAGAGGACCAGCAGCGGGAGCATAGAGGGCCGCCGGGGGGCAAAGAGGAGGAACGGAACCGAGAGAATGTGGTAGCGGAGGAAGACGGAGAGGGAGAGGGAGGGGGAGAAGGGGAGGGAGCCGACAGAGAGGGCGAAGGAGAGGGAGAGCCAGACGGCAAGGAGGCAGAGCAAGAGGCAGAGGAAGAGAAGGGCACACCCGGGTCTGCCTCAGCGGCTGCCGCACCCGCACCAACCAGGACGAGCAGGCGGCGGAAACAGGCGCTCAAGGACGACTCGACCTTAGACGCACCAGAAGGCTCAACTAGCAAGGGGTTGAAGGAACAGGCAGCAAACAACACTACGCCGCGGGCAGTAGGTAGAAGGGCGGGCACGCGACGAGCCGCTGCGTCTGCGTCACACCCAGAAGATCTACCAGGGGAAGAACAAGAACCGGCGGCGACGGCGCCAGCGGGACGGCGAGGCCGAGGCGGGAAGAAATCATCCAGCGGTGTCGCGTCGGAACCGGCGGCGGTGGCGGCTCCAGAGCAGCAGGCGAACGAGGACTCGTCAAATCGACGCGGCAAGCGGCGAAGAACGGAGGAAGAAGAAAAAGCCCCCTTGTCGGGAACGGAAGAGACAGCACGGGGGAGGGGGAAGGGTGAGACGGCTGCGTCGACCTCCATCCCGCCGGCGGCGAAGCGCGGGAGGAGATCGTCTCGCGCTGCGCCTGCGCCTGCGGCCAGTGCGTCCCTTGGGGGCGACGAAGGTAATGACGAGGAGCCCCAAGAGGAGCCGGCGTCCGCGGTGGCGGCGGGGAAGAGGACGAGGGGGTGGGGGCGTGCGGCGAAGGAATCGGAGCCCAGCGAGGAGGACACCACTGCCACGCCAAAAGCTACAAGGGGGACAGCAAGAGGCGCTTCGCAGGCGAGGGCCAAAGGGAAGGGCAAAGCCGTGGCGGTGGCGGGAGTTGGTAAGAAGCGGAAGGCGGGAGAGGACGCCGAGCTGGACGCTGAGGAGAGCGACGGTGCAGGGGCCCAAAGTCGGCAGGGGAAGGCGGGGGGGAAGGGCAAGAACAACGCGACGGGTGCGAGAAAACGGAAGGCGGAAGAGGCAGGCGTGCCTTCTTCTCCACAAGCGGACGGGACCGACGAGGACGATGTCGCGTCTGCGCCGGCGGCGGCGGCGACAACCGCCGGCCGAGGACGGAGAAGGAAGAGCAGCGCAGCCAAGAACGGGACGGATAGCGAGCCGGCGGCTGTCGCGCCGGTGACGCCTTCGAAGCGCGGCAGGGGCCGTTCCTCAGCGGCGGCGGCAGCGGCAGCGGCTGCGGCTGCGGAGGAAAAAGAACAAGAAAAACCCACGCCGAGAAGTCCTGCCAAGGCGAGCGGCCGGGGTAGGGGTGCCAAGTCATCTCCGCCAACCCCGACGGTAGCAAGCCGTTCGCCGAGCGGCGGAGGAGGGGTCGACAGCCAGAGCTCCGGCGATGTGAAGGTGGTGGGCGTGTGCATCTCGTTTGTGGATTTCTGCTCGCGACGTCTTTTTCGTATTTAATGCTTTGTTTTCTCGTAGTAAAGCACACGGGGAGGGCTTTTTTTTTTTCATCTTGTTCCTCGGCACAGCATTTTTCCGTGCGTGACTGTGTTTTGTAGTACACTTGTGTCCTTGCCTGTGCGGAGCGATTTCTTATGTACCCGGCATCACCGGCATCCTGTGATGTCGGATGCCGTGTCGATGTCGCAGCTTGCATTGTCTCTGTCGCCGTACCACGGCAAACAGTCCGGGCGAGTACACAGTCATGTGATAGATTTTTACAGCTCTATTGCTCCGCTCTCCACCAAAAGACGGTCGAGCTATAGGTACTGTAGGTTTTCTTGTTGTTGTGGATGTGCATGCCTGTGCGGAGATGATGTGATGCTCGGAGAAGTATAGCAACTTCTCACCGTCTGTGGTATCTGCCTTCGCTGTGTTTGTTGACTCGTGCCGTGGAAGGTTTGTTTCACCGGCGTGAAGCCCACGCCTAAGGAGCGGTCGTGCATGAAGAAGCTGGGGGTGTCTGAGGTAGGCGATGCAAACTGCTGCTACAGCTGCTGCTTCTGCTGCTGCTGCTGCTGCTGCTGCTACTGCTGCTGCTACTGCTGCTGCTGTTGTTGTTGCTGCTGCTGCTGCGCCAAGGTCGACCGGCGGATGAACACACCGATCACCGCCTGCCTCCAATGTTTTCCCTCCCCTCCCCGCCACACCATGGCTATGCACAACGCCAAATACCGTAAAGCTGGGCTGAGCCCAACTCAACCCGACCCCCCCCCCTGCATTGCCCAACGCCGCCTAACCAAGGTGGAGTCCGTGCTCGAAGCCACGCATTTAGTCGCCGGGGGAAGCGGGGTCGCGCTAAAACGTACCCCCAAGCTCCTGGCGGGTCTGGGCCGCTGCCGCTTCGTGGTGGACGTGGAGTGGTTGTATCAAAGCGCCAAGGATGGGAAGCTGCTGGATGGAGTGGAGTACGTCCTCTGTGATGCTGAGGTGTGTCGTGGGAGTTGTTGTTGTTGTTGTTGCTTCTGCGGTTTTGTTTGGTTTTGACTGTTTTAGCCCCGTGCCGTCGTTTCGATGCCAAGGGTATATGCTTTTCGTTTTGCACACTTTGTTGACGTTGTTCTTCACTATGGCTGTCAGTGTTGTTGTTGTTGTTGTTGTTGTTGTTGTTGTTGTTGTTTTTAGGTCGTTGGACTCTTCCCTCACCGTCTTAACAAGATGTTGTCTGCGAGGAACGAAGGCTAGTAATTCTCCCCATGCACTCATTGCAAGCTACACTATACCTGACGAAGAGGAACTCCGATCGTTCATGGCCCGTACGGACAAACGCTTCTCTTTGGCTTTTGAATCCAGGGCAAAAGGATTCGAACTCCCCTTGTCATCACATGTTTTCGGTAGTTTTGCTTGTGCTCACGATGTTGGCGTGACTGTTCGGGGAAGCTGAAAACTTTTAGCTTCCCACAAAAGGGACATACGTGACCACCCTAGGCGACACAACCGCTCGATCAGAGGTTTTCCCCCGCACGGAAGTAGTGTTTAACCCTCCTAGTGCTGGAAACCCAAATGGGGACACTTTGGCGACACAACACTAATGCCTATTTACCGTACTGTTGTCACCCTAGGCTCCGCTGGTGTGTGCAACGAACGTGAGAACCCTTGGTCTATCATGCTTGGCTGAGGTGGTACGCTGTGTGATATGCTGAGTGATGCCTCTCCTGGGCCTCTGACTTGCTGTACACATCTCCCAACGCGCGTGCCCCCTAGATCGTAATACTGTACATCGCCTGGTACTGGAAAACATTGCTGACTTGGCTTCAGTATGAAAAGTGTCCCCACGTGCTCTTTGGGGACACTTTTCATTCTGAAGCCAAGGCACCCTTTGTCTGGCAAGGAGCTCAGATGCTTTGGAGGGACTGTAGCTCTTCGACCAATGGCTGACAAACGTTTTTTCGACATTTTTTTCCGCGGAGGGACTGGGTACTAGGAGGATTAAGAACATACGGACCAATCAGAAAAGTGCGGGCACCTTTTCTATCTCTCTCTCGCTCTCTCCCCCTCTCTTTCTTTCTCTCTCTCTCTCGTTCCCCTCTCCCGGTCTGAAGGTCGGGGAGGGGTGATATGTGTACTCTAAGCCATCAACCCAAGACTCGACTACAAACGTACCGTAGTGCACCAGAGAGACAACCCCCCAAGGCAGACCAACATGTGGTCGGATGACAATTTTAAGCCGAGTAAACGTTGGGTTGACCTCCTCAAACGGCCCGGGTCGCCTGTCACTGCTGTTGTTTCTAATCGCAGGCGGAAAAGAAGTGGGGCTTCAATATGCGGGTGTCCCTGGGACGAAGGCCCGAAGCGGGTCTGCTTGCAGGCCTCTCCGTGCACGTCGACCCATGCGTGGTGAGTCGAGCGTGCTGCGCTGATATGATCGGTGCTCTGATGGGGTAACGTTGGTTTGGATTGTGGTAAGTGTCGGGGCGGTTTTGGGTGTGGAGACAACAAGCGTCAACGAGTTGTAGTCGATCTAGGTATGCTACGATGTCCCCGCTTGATGGTCCGTATTTTCGCAGAAGGCTTCGTTTCTTGAGTTGTGTGTCGAGAGAGAAAGAATGAGAGACGGTGGGAGAAGAGACATCGAGTGACAGAGAGAGAAGGAGAGAGAGAGAGAGAGAGAGAGAGAGAGAGAGAGAGAGAGAGATCCGAAGTCGCAGCATCGTTCGATAATAACAACCACCAGGCCTTGAGACATGGAGCTTGCACAATCGATGCGGCTGCTTCACTATCTTGTCGGCCTTTCGTGGAGTCGTCAAACGATTCATAGCGGGCTTGCTTGCTTGCTGCCTCTATGGTGTTGGTGGCTTCGAACGCTTTCTGTGTCGACTCTGTCGTACGTATCCGTTTTTTCCCGCGAATCTCAGCAACAACAGGGCGTCAGCGAGAATGAGAAAAGTTGTACTGTAGCACGATCGGAGTGTGTGCGCGTTGGGGAAGTATGCTGTCTACTCGGTATTGACTCCTGCACTCGAGTGATACATTGCTGTGGTTGTGTGGTCGTCCCACCTGGCGTGCCAAGACGACTGCGATAACTTGATTGGGGACGCGTTGTTCTTGTTGTCGGTTTTTTGTTGCTGTGGAGATGTGCTTCATGCCAGATATCTTGTTGTGCGAACCACGCCCGGGTTGTGCGTTCTTTCTCCCTTACGCACACTCTTTTTTCCCTCTATGCCAATAGTTACACATGTGTTGTCGTTCTGCTGTGTGTATGTGCGCATTTGTGTTGTTGCTTGCTGTGTGTGGCAGGCGGGCGTCAAGGGTATGGGATGTCCCCCCCTCGAGGAGATGGAGATGGTCGTCATCTCCGCCGGAGGACAGTGGTTGCCGCAACTTCCAAAGGTAAGCGGTTGTGGAGTTTTGCTGTTGAAATCGTCGTTGTCAAGTTGCTGTTGGTCGTCGTCGTCGTCGCCGCCGTCATTGTCGTAGTCTGGGTAGCGAAGGGACCGCCCAAAGTCTGGTGGTGTCGTTATGAGCGAGAACAAGTAGTAGTACGGTGCTTCGACTGGCGACCGCTCTAGCAAAAGAGTTACTACGCCCACGCTGGGCTCGGTTCCCATTCAGATGCGTTAGTTACGGTCTATCACGAGACTGCGGGAAAGTCACGCTTGATCCCCCCTCGTTGGCCCGGTGAGAACCCGGCGTTCTCCTTCCCGGCTTTGTAGGGATGCGAGGTCAATGGTCTACCGTCTACGTCATGCACGGCTACAAGTACCCCCCCCCCCCCCGTCCTCGGCCCTGTGGGAACAATGCTCCGTACTCTCGAGGAGGCGTGGTCAACGGGTTATCAGATTATGGCATGCAAAACATGAATATCCCCCCTCTCCCAGGCCTCTTCCAGGTCTATGCTCTAACGATTACAGCGTGCGTTTTCAGGAATAACGCCCCCCCCCCCCCCCCCCCCCCTCCCCTTTACCCCCACCCCCCCTCTCTGCGGGAACCCGGAAGGGCCGAACCCGAATCCCCCCCGGGGAAAACTCCCCCCGACCCCCCCCAAACCCCCCGGGGGAAAGGGAAAAAATTTCCCCCCCCCCCCCCCCCTGGGGGCAACCGCCAAGGCCAACTCCCCGAAAAGCTCTTTTTGTGTATCCCACCCCCAAAAAAGTCCTGGCCCCCTTAATTTGTTGCTGGGGGGGGGGGGGCCCAAGGTGGACCCCCCAACCAAAAACCCGCCCAACCTAAAAAGGTTTTAAAGGGGGGGGGGGGGTACAAATAAAGGAAAAACCTTCCCC